TTTGGAACGGTCCCCGAGGAGAAAGAACAGAAAACGCATCCTTATCCTCCTCCTCCGCCTCCTCATCATCATCCTAATTTCATTACTAGGCAGCTATTCAACACACATCATAGAGTTCGTTCGTTTGTTTCCTCCTCTTCCTCCTCCTGCTCCTCCGCCTCCTCCTCATCATCTTCCTTCCTGCGTCTCCTCCTCTCCTCCTCCTCCTCCTCCTCCTCCTCTTCTTCCTCCTCCTCCTCCTCCTCCTCCTCTTCTTCCTCCTCCTCCTCCTCCTCCTTCTCCTCTCCTCTTCCTCCCTCCTTCTTCTTCTCTTCCTCCTCCGTCTCTTCCTCCAGTCTCAACGCCATCTGGCCATTTTATTTCACAGGGGAGGAGAATGGGGAAAGGGGGCGAGGGGCAGGAAATACAGGAGCAGCAGCAGAAGGAGGAGGCCGACAGCCAAAAAAAAAAGCCTGGCGAAGGACCCAACCATATGTAGTTGTGCGCACCGCAATTTTGAATATCTTCTTCGGTGGCGCTCCAAATGGGGCCACGAACCCTGTGAGGTGTGTGCCGAAATGGGCGGGGCGGACGCATGTGAACGGTGACGTTGGGGCATTCGGTGAAGCTCCCTATGGGGCCACGAAACGTAAGAGGTGTATGCCGAAATGGGTGTGCGGGACGCATGCGGGCGGTGGCACCCGAGCCTTCGGTGGAGTTCACTATGGGGTGGCGAACCGTGTGAGGGGTGTGCCGAAATGAGTGTGGAGGACGCAAGTGGAAGGTGGAACTGGGGCCTTCGGTGGAGCTCCCTATGGGGCCACGGAACGTGTGAGGGGTGTGCCGAAATGGGTGCGGGGGACGCATGTGGACGGTGGCATTGGGGCCTTCGGTGGAGCTTGGGCAACGAAACGTGTGAGGGGTGTGCCGACATGGGTGTGGGGGACGCAGGTGGCACTGGGGTTTTCGGTGGAGCTCCCTATGAGGCCACGAAAACGTGTGAAGGGTGTGCCGAAATGGGTGTGGCGACTGCATGCGGGCACCCCTTCTAGGGCATTCGGTGGAGCCCCCCATGGGGCCACGAAACGTGTGAGCGGTGTGCCAAAATGGGTGTGGGGACCGCATGCGGGAACCCCTTCTAGAGCCTTCGGTGGAGCCCCCCATGGGGCCACGAAACGTGTGAGGGGTGTGCCGAAATGGGTGTGGCGACCGCATGCGGGCACCCCACTACGGCCTTCCATGGGGCTCCCCATGGGGCCACGAAAACGTATGAAGGGCGTGCCGAAATGGGTGTGGCGACCGCATGCGGGCACCCCACTAAGGCCTTCGATGGGGCTCCCTATGGGGCCACGAAAACGTGTGAAGGGTGCGCCGAAATGGGTGTGGCGACCGCATGCGGGCACCCCTTCTAGGGCCTTCGGTGGAACCCCCCATCGGGCCACGAAAGGTGTGAGCGGTGTGCCGAAATTTTTGTGGGAACCACATGCGGGCACCCCCACTAGGGCCTTCGTTGGAGCTCCCTATGGGGCCACGAAACGTGTGAGGGCAAAATGGGTGTGGGGGACGCATGCGGGCGTTGCCACTGGGGCCTCTGGTGGAGCTCCTTATGGGGCCATCATGCGTGTGAGGGGTGTACCGAAATGGGTGCGGTGACCGCATGCGGGCACTCCCACTGGGCATTCGGTGGAGCTCCGTCTGGTGCCATGAAACGTGTGAGGGGTGTGCCAAAATGGGTGTGGGGACCGCATGCGGGCACCCCCACTAGGGCCTTCGGTGGAGCTCCCCATGGGGCCACGAAACGTGTGAAGGGTGTGCCAAAGTGAGGGGGGTGAGGGGAGGAGGGAGGAGAGGGGGGCAGGAGGAGGAGAGGAGAGAAGAACGCGGGGACCGTCTCTTCAAAACGAGGACCCAACACAGGACGGTTGGGAATTAGCCTGGCGAAGGGCCCAACCATATGTAGTTGTAGGTACCGTCGTTGTGAGTATTGCCGACATGGGTGTGAGGGACGCATGTGGACGGTGGCGCTGGGGCCTTCGGTGGAGATCCCACGAAGCGTGTGAGGGGTGTGCCGAAATGGGTGTGGGGGACGCATGTGGACGGTGGCACTGGGGCCTTGGGTGGAGCGCCCTATGGGGCCACGAAGCGCGTGAAAGGTGTGCCGAAATTGGGCGGGACCGCCGTGCGGGCGCTGCCAGTGGGGCCTTCGGTGGAGCTCCGTCTGGTGCCATGAAACGTGTGAGGGGGTGTGCCGAAATTGCGGGTGGAACCGCATGTGAGCGTTGCCCCTGGGGCTTTAGGTGGAGCCCCCTATGGGGCCACGAACCGTGTGAGGTGTGTACCGACATGGAGGGTGGAACTGCATGCGTGCGCTGCCACTAGGGCCTTGGGTGGAGCTCCTTATGGTGCTACGAAGCGTGTGAGGGGTGTGCCGACATGGAGGGTGGAACTGCATGCGGGCGCTGCCACTGGGGCCTTGGGTGGAGCTCCTTATGGGGCCACGAAGCGTGTGAGGGGTGTACCGAAATTGGGGTGGAGCCGCATGCGGGCGCTGCCACTGGCGCCTTCGGTGGAGCTCCCTATGGAGCCACGAACCGTGTGAGGGGTGTGCCGAAATGCGGGTGGAACCGCATGCGGGCGTTGCCATTGGGACCTTCGGTGGAGCTCCCCTATGGGGCCACGATACGTGTGAGGGGTGCATCGAAATGGCGGGTGGAACCGCATGCGGGCGCTGCCACGCCACTGTGGCTTCAGGTGGAGCTCCCTATGGGACCACGAACCGTGTGAGCGGTGTGCCGAAATGGGGGTGGAACTGCATGCGGGCGCTGCCCATGGAGCCTTGGGTGGGGACGCCCTATGGGGCCACGAAACATGTGAGGGGTGTGCCGAAGTTGAAGGTGGAACCGCATGCGGGCGCTGTCATTGGGGCCTTCGATGGAGCTCCCTTCCTATGAGGCCATGAAACGTATGAGGGGGTACCGAAATGCGGGTGGAACCGCATGCGGGCGTTGTCATTGGGGCCTCCGGTGGAGCTCCCTATGGGGCCACGGTACGTGTGAGGGGTGCACCGAAATCAGAATGGAACCGCATGTGAGCGCTGCGCCTGGGGCCTTAGGTGGAGCTCCATATGGGTCTACGAAGCGTGTGAGGGATGTGCCGAAATGGAGGGTGGAACTGCATACGGGCGCTGCCACTGGTGCCCTCGGTGGAGCTCCTTATGGGACCACGAACCGTGTGAGCGGTGTGCCGAAATGGGGGTGGAGCCGCATGCTGGCGTTGCTTCTGTGGTCTTAGGTGGAAATCCCTACGGGGCCACGAAACGCTTGAGGGATGGGGGTTGAACTGCATACGGGCGCTGCCACTGGAACCTTCGGTGGAGCTCCCCATGGGGCCACGAAGCGCTGCACTTGATGCGGAGGACAGGCAGGGATGGGAGGAGGGATGGGGCAGCGCGAGGAGGAAGGAGTGACGCGGGGCGCTGCCTCTTCAGACCGGGAACCCAACACCACAGGATGGTTGGGAAAAACACAGTTCATGTGATGGCCCCCTGGAGACTTCCAGAGTCCCAAGCAAGGGCCAGAAACATCCAAAATGAGCCTGGCAAAGGACCCAACCATATGCAGTTGTGAACACAGTCGTTGTATGCACTGCATTCGGAGGAGCTCCCTATGGGGCTGCCAAACGTGCAAGGGGTGTACCAAAATGGGTGCGGTGGGCACATGCGAACGCTGGCATTTGGGCCTTCGGTGGGGCCCCCTTTGGGGCCACGAACTGTGTGAGGGGTGTGCCAAAATGCAAAATGGATGCGGTAGCCGCATGCGAACGCTGGCATTTGGGCCTTCGGTGGGGCTCCCTATGGAGCCACGAAACGTGTGAGGGGTGTGCCAAAATGGGTGCGGTGGCCGCATGCAAACGCTGGCATTTGGGCCTCCGGTGGGGCTCCCTTGTGGGGCCACGAAACGTGCGAACGCTGGCATTTGGGCCTTCGGTGGAGCTCCCTATGGGGCCACGAAACGTGTGAGGGGTGCGCCAAAAGGGGTGCGGTGGCCCCATGCGAACGCTGGCATTTGTGCCTTCGGTGGGGCCCCATATGGAGCCACGAAACGCGTGATGGGCGTGCCAAAATGGGTGCGGTGAGCGCATGCGAACGCTGGCATTTGGTCCTTCGGTAGGGCTCCCTATGGGGCCACGCAGCGTGTGAGGGGTGTGCCAAAATGGGTGCGGTGGCCGCATGCGAACGCTGGCATTTGGGCCTCCGGTGGGGCTCCCTGTGGGGCCACGATACGTGTGAGGGGTGTGCCAAAATGGGTGCGGTGGCCGCATGCGAACGCTGGCATTTGGGCCTTCGGTGGGGCTCCCTATGGGGCCACGAACTGTGTGAGGGGTGTGCCAAAATGGGTGCGGTGGGCGCATGCGAACGCTGACACTTGGGCCTTCGGTGGGGCTCCCTATGGGGCCACGAAACGTGTGAGGGGTGTGCCAAAATGGCTGACTGGTTCGGAGGGCAGACACAGGGAGCGGAGGAAAGGGAGGGAGGAGGAGGAGGAGTGAGAACGCGGGGCGCCGTCTCTTCAAAACGAGGACCCAACAGCAGGGGATGGTTGGGAAATAATCCGAGCCGCTGGCAAATCTCCATCCTCGATCATCGAAGGTCAGGGATACAATTTCCCAGACCTCCGATGTCTTGATTTGCTCGACCACTTCCTGGGGGCCGGCTTCTCGTCTCGAAGCGTTTCTTGTTGATGGCCCTGGATTTCTCAAGACAGCCCCGTGTGACCGAAAACGATGAAACGGATCTGTGTGGTTCCTTTGTTCCAGCCGGCTGCACGTAAGAGTGACCTTTCGCCACAGTGACCTGTTGTGCGGGCACACCGGGGTCCCCAGATAGCTGAACGCGTTGCGATGCCAGCGGCTTGCGCGTTCGGACTTGGCCTCCCCGCGCCCCCCGAAAAAGCCGCGCACCGAAGGCAACTTCTGCCTGGGGGTCCCTCCTGCGCGCAACCGCTGCAGTCGCAGCCCCGGAGGACCACTTCCGCGCCCGCCACGGCGGCCGGGGAGAGGCCTGCGCGCGGCGGCTGCTGGAGGGCAGCGAGGCCCGCGGGGGGCAGGCGCGCGCGGGGCCCGCCGCGAGCGCCGCGCTGCTGCTGCAGCTCGTCGTGGTTGCCACGCTGGAGACCCGCGCGCGCGCGCGGCTCCGATCCTCGCTGCTCTGAGCTGGCCCGATAGCGGGGGTTGCTAGAGGTGCCCCTGGCCCAAGGTGCCCCCAGCTGTTCGCTCCCTTTTGGGGTCCCCGCGGCCCTCTGGGCCTCGTGAGGGGTGCCCTGGAGGCCGTGGGGGCCTCCTTGGACAACCTGGGGGCACCTTGGGCCAGGGGCACTTCTAGCAACACCCGACGATACGCCCGTGCTGAAACGCAGAAGGCACTGTGTTCAAGACGTGCGTGTCAACACGCCCTGCGCTGGCTCGGCACTTGGTGGCCCACGGCTCGGCGAACGCACCGCGTAGAAGCTGCGTTGTCGATCTGCGTGTTGGGTTCCGTGTCGACCCGTTCGGGTTGCGCGTTGCGTATCGGGGCGGTTAAGTTCTTCCCGTTTTCTCCTCCTCCTTCCTCCGCGCCATCCTCTCTCTCTCCCCCCCATCTTTCCTCCCCGCGCATCCCTCCTGCTCCTCCCTGTGCCTGCTTGGCATCCTGCTTGTCTCATAAGGTCGGGCCAAGGTATAAGATCGAGGTCGGTTCGGGGAGCATGCCCTAATGTTCTTCATGCGTGCTGGACGTTCTTGTGCATCCTGGGGGAGGGCGCCCTCGAGCGTTCTCCAGTGTGGGCCGGCGGAGGGTCTCGGTCTCGTGTTCTTGAAGGATGTTTTTCTGTCTCAGCCCCGACTGTACACATCCTTCATCCCATCTCCTCATCATCCAACCTCTACAGTGGGGGCGCGCATCAAGAAACCATATACTTTTCGTCAGGGTACCCTGGGTTTCTTCGCTCCGCGCGATGCGCGGTGACTTCCCGCGGCCGTTGAAGGAGCTGCTGCGTTCGGGGTGCTCCAGGTTTCCCCTCACTTGCACCTCGCGCGCGGGTTTTCAGGGTTGGGTTTCTTGCGAGGGTTTCTTGCGGCCGCGCCCGCACTGTATTCCCCTCCCCTCCCTCATCTTCCTTCCCGTCCTGATGGTGGTTGCCACCTTGGAGAGCCCGCGCGCGCGAGTCTGTCCAGTCAAGACAGGAAGGGACACCTCGACGTCCTCGCGTTTACCAGGTTGGCCTTCTATTCTGATCTTGGCGCCACTACCGAGCATCCTCCCTCGTTCTCCTCCTCCTCCTCCTCCCTCGTCCATCCCGTGTCCTTATGAGTAACTCCTCCCTGTCGTACCCCCAGACGTGTGCAGGGCGGGCCGGGCGTTTCGCTTGAGACTTCCTCACCAATGCTTCACGCTTCGCGTATCCTTTCGAGCCATTTCACAGACGTTGCCCATGAGAGTTGACGGGAAAAGGGACGAAGGGACACAGCCATAGTGAAACGAAGCGGACAACCAGGATGAACAGAGAGATCGTTGGGAGCAAGGGGGTGGCTTTGGGGGGCCTCTTCGGGCCATCCCTGGGGCCCGCGGGGGGGGGCGAGGGAAGGAGGAAGAGGAGGAGAAGGAGTAGGACGCGGAAGCAAACTGCATCTTTGGTCCCTCGTTGGACGCTCTTGGATGCTTTGTGGGCCCTCTAAGGGCCATTTTGGGAGCCCTGGATGGCCTCTTGAGGCCATCTTGGAGGCCATCAATCAAATCGGGTGTTCCCGATTTCGCCACCCCCCACAAAGAGCCTTCGAGATCGCCTCTCGGGGCTCCTTTGGGGCGCTCTTGGGCCACTATTGGACGCTCTTGGGGCCGTCTGGGGGGCCGCATGTTGGAGCAACCTTGAGGCCTCAACAGCGCATCGGAAGCGAAAAGGCGAGAAGGCACAAGTCATTGAGTTGCCTTACGTTTTTTCCCAACCCTCCTGCGTTGGGCTCTCGTTTTGAATAGAGCACTGCTCGCGCGAACCTTCCTTCCTTCCTTCCCGTCCCTCTCTTCCCCCCTGCCGTTGACCTCGCCATCCCTGGGGGGCTGCGATCTGTGAAACGGTCGCCGCTTTCGAGGGCTGCTGAGGGGCCCGGCACAGTGGGTACCCACCGCAGACTCAAATTAGACCTCGCCATCCCTGGGGGGCTGCGATCTGTGAACCTGTCGCCGCTTTCGAGGGCTGCTGAGGGGCCCAGCACAGTGGGTACCCACCGCAGACTCAAATTAGACCTCGCCATCCCTGGGGGGCTGCGATCTGTGAAACTGCCGCCACTTTCGAGGGCTGCTGAGGGGCCCAGCACAGTGGGTACCCACCGCAGTCTCAAATTAGACCTCGCCATCCCTGGGGGGCTGCGATCTGTGAAACTGTCGCCACTTTCGAGGGCTGCTGAGGGCCCCAGCACAGTGGGCACCCACCGCAGATTCAAACTAGACCTCGCCATCCCTGGGGGGCTGTGATCTGTGAAACTGTCGCCACTTTCGAGGGCTGCTGAGGGGCCCGGCACAGTGGGCACCCACCGCAGATTCAAACTAGACCTCGCCATCCCTGGGGGGCTGCGATCTGTGAAACTGTCGCCACTTTCGAGGGCTGCTGAGGGGCACAGCACAGTGGGTACCCACCGCAGACTCAAAGTAGACGCCGCTTTCGTCCTTGTTCTCCTCCTGCAGTCACCTTCCCTCTGCTGTTGCCGTGCTGATGGTTCGGCTTCCCGCACGTTTTTCTCCTGCTCTGCGTTCCCGACTCCCCATGTCCTCTGCGAGCCTGTAGCTGTCGCCCCTCGTTCTTGTATGGTTCCCCTGCGCATCATGCCATAGGCGCGTGTCCCAAGTAGCTTACACATCAACTTGATTGTCCATGCAAGTTTCGGCCAACTCCTCGTTTCCATTGATACAAATGGGTTGGGTACGTCACAGGGTAATTCCCAACCCTCCTTGGTTGGGTATTCGTTTTGAATAGAGCACCGTGGTCGCGTCCTTCTCCTCCCGCCTCCCGCCTCCCTCTTGTCTCCTCTCGCCGTCCCTGGGGGGCTGCGATCTGTAAAACTGTCGCCACTTTCGAGGGCTGCTGGGGAGGCCAGCAGAGAGGGCACTCACCGCGGATCCAAACGGGACCTCGCCGTCCCTGGGGGGCTGCGATCTGTGAAACTGTCGCCACTTTTGAGGGCTGCTGGGGAGGCCAGAAGAGAGGGTACTCACCGCGGATCCAAATGGGACCTCGCCGTCCCTGGGGGGCTGCGATCTGTGAACCTGTCGCCACGTTCGAGGGCTGCTGGGGAGGCCAGCAGAGAGGGCATTCACCGCGGATCCAAACGGAACCTCGCCGTCCCTGGGGGGGCTGCGATCTGCGAAACTGTCGCCACTTTCGAGGGCTGCTGGGGAGGCCAGCAGAGAGGGTACTCACCGCGAGATCCAAACGGGACCTCGCCGTCCCTGGGGGGCTGCGATCTGCGAAACTGCCGCCACTTTCGAGGGTTGCTGGGGAGGCCAGCAAAGAGGGCATTCACCGCGTATCCAAACGAGACCTCGCCGTCCTTGGGGGGCTGCGATCTGCGAAACTGTCGCCACTTTCGAGGGCTGCTGGGGAGGCCAGCAGAGAGGCTCTCACCGCGGATCCACACAGGACCTCGCCGTCCCTGGGCCGGCTGCGATCTTCGAAACTGTCGCCACTTTCGAGGGCTGCTGGTGGGTCCTGCGGGGTGAGGCACCGCGCGGACCTGAGCGGGACCTCGCCGCCCCTGGGGGGGTGCGATCTGCGAAACTGTCGCCATTTTCGAGGGCTGTTGGTGGGTCCTGCAGAGTAAAGCACCGCGCGGACCTGAGCGGGACCTCGCCGTCCCTGGGGGGCTGCGATCTGCGAAACTGTCGCCAGTTTCGAGGGCGGCTGGTGGGTCCTGCAGAGTGTGGCACCGCGCGGACACGAGCGGGACCTCGCCGTCCTTGGGGGGTTGCGATCTGCGAAATTGTCGCCACTTTCGAGGGTTGCTGGTGGGTCCTGCGGAGTGATCCACCGCGCGGACTTGAGCCAGACCTCGCCGTGCCTGGGGGGCTGCGATCTGCGAAATTGTCGCCACTTTCGAGGGCTGCTGGTGGGTCCTGCGGAGTGAGGCACCGCGCGGGCCTGAGCGGGACCTCGCCGTCCCTGGGGGGTTGCGATCTGCGAAACTGTCGCCACTTTCGAGGGTTGCTGGTGGGCCTGCGGAGTGAGGCACCGCGCGGACCTGAGCCAGACGTCGCCGTGCCTGGGGGGTTGCGATCTGCGAAATTGTCGCCACTTTCTGGGGCTGCTGGGGGTGGTGGTGGGCCCTGCGGAGTGAGGCACCGCGCGGACCTGAGCGGGACCTCGCCGTCCCTGAGGGGCTGCGATTTACGAAATTGTCGCCACTTTCGAGGGCGGCTGGTGGGTCCTGCGGAGTGAGGCACCGCGCGGACCTGAGCGGGACCTCACCGTCCCTGGGAGGCTGCGACCTGCGAAATTGTCGCCAGTTCGAGGGCTGCTGGTGGATCCTGCGGAGTGAGGCACCGCGCGGACCTGAGCGGGTCCTCGCCGCCCCTGGGGGGCTGCGATCTGCGAAATTGTCGCCACTTTCGAGGGCTGCTGGTGGGCCCAGCGGAGTGAGGCACCGCGCGGACCTGAGCGGGACCTCGCCGTCCCTGAGGGGGGCTGCGATCTGCGAAACTGTCGCCACTTTCGAGGGCTGCTGGTGGGTCCTGCGGAGTGAGGCACCGCGCGGATCTGAGCGGGACCTCGCCGTCCCTGGGGGGGCTGCGATCTGCGAAATTGTCGCCACTTTCGATGGCTGCCGGTGGGTCCTGCGGAGTGAGGCACCGCGCGGACCTGAGCGGGACCTCGCCGCCCCTGGGGGGGGGGTGCGATCTGCGAGATTGTCGCCACTTTCGAGGGCTGCTGGCGGGTCCTGCGAAGTGAAGCACCGCGCGGACCTGAGCGGGACCTCGCCGTCCCTGGGGGGCTGCGATCTGCGAAATTGTCGCCACTTTCGAGGGCTGCTGGTGGGTCCTGCGGAGTGAGGCACCGCGCGGATCTGAGCGGGACCTCGCCGTCCCTGGGGGGTTGCGATCTGCGAAATTGTCGCCACTTTCGAGGGCTGCTGGTGGGTCCAGCGGAGTGAGG